TGACATCAGGAGGCGGCCACCTGGGAAGGGTCACTGATGTAAACCAAGTTTATTCAGAGCTTTGGGTATTTTGGGAGAAAGACTCATGAGTATGCAAAGGACAAATAAAGAGCCTGGGGGGTGTCATTCATATTCCACCATGTCCGTACCCACTGTTGTTCATCACTCACATGAAATCCACCTCTGCTTTTTCAGAGCTCTACCAGACAAGTCAAAGTATAAATTATTATGTTTACTACCATAAACATGAAGGAACTACACCAGAACAAAAAACTCTGTTCCTGAAACTGAAATGCAATTGCAGAATGGTTGAGCCCTGACATCCCGGCAGGCCAGCCGGCACACAAGGAGCCCGGGATGGGTGCTGGGGAGGCACACGGAGGAATACCATGCACCATGCAGGCAATTTTACTCTGTAGCTTTTGTCAAGAGGCAGTAGATAAAAATGGTGTGTACAGATTTCCTACACAGGGAAAGTTAAACTGATCTTTCTTAAACCAAAGTGTTGGTTAAGCCCTAAAGTATAATTAATGAATGTAAGATTTCTGTTAATTCTCTATCACACTAAAAACAACTCTAAAAATATCTATCTATATGATTCTATCTATTCATCCACCTATCTATCCTTTTATCCCAGAATATCACATTGATAGAAACAAATTAATTGTATTCACATTAACCAACCTGAAATTCACTTAATAATTTTAAGGTCTACTTCATTATTTGTTTTAATTGTTGGCAGATGATTCGTTGAGATGGAAAATCACACTTCACTGCAAAAATACACTTCCTCAGAAAATGCTTCAAAAACCTCAGTATAAATGCTTCTGAAGGATTAAATACCTTATAGAGACTAGAGTGTAATTTTGAAATAAGAAAGAGTAAAGACAAGGAAAAAAAAAATGGTACAAATTATTCTAATGTGTGCATATGCAAAACAATGATCTTCAAGCCATTTTACTCCAATCATTGTTCAAAGATCATAAAATAATATTGGTACATTACAAAGGTGAAAATGTTACACTGTAATCTTCATGCAATTTAAAATTATCATTTTGTTTTCTTCTGTCAGTCTGCACTGGAGTTTAAGGAACCTACAAACTGGATGTCTATGCAGACGGTGCCACAGGTTACATATTTTTTCATCAGGACATACTCATCTTTTGCCTTCTGTTCAGAAATTCTATATACTTAAAACACAGATAATTCTGCTCCAGAATTTGACAGAGCACCACATCCTCTAAGACCAAGGTAAGTTAAAAACGTTCATCTGGGGGCAGAATGATCAGTCTTTACAATCCTGCATTTGAAACACTATTAAGCATTTTTATCTTTTTATCTTTTGAAACCCCTGAGGCAGGGAATGAAGAAAATAGGAAAAATTACACTGTATAAGAGAAATAAACTGCAATTAGAATAATGCTTTAGAAGCCTAAAGCGCTAATATATAAGCAATCTGGGAAGAAACTAATAAGGAAAAGTTATTTCAAAAAGCATTGTAGCCAGCTTTCACATTTACTCCTGATAGAAGACAGTCCCTGATACAGCGCTGGCTCAAGCCCATTCAGGTTTCCCCTGGCTGATATGAATACAAAATACTAAAACAGTAAGTAGAAGATCCCTGGGAGTGTGAAAATCAGAGTGTTGCAGGAGAAATTCCTGAGTCCTTTGCTGTTATGTTCTAGCCAGAGAAATCCAGATTGGTTAGACAGAGTGAAGGGAAGGGCTGCATGGAGCAAAGCCTGTTCCACCAGCAGAAGGCACGTCCACAAGCGCAGCTCCAGGTGGAAACATTAGGGCTGATGTGGGAGCCACAAACAGGACTGCCGTGTTTGCAGCTGAAAGCAGAACACACCAGCTTGGGCAGAAGAGGATTTGAATGCAGGTGCCTTGCTTCTGCTGCAGCATGGCGTTGGTCAGAGCCAGCCTCAACATCCCTTCCCAGTGCTGGCCACGCTACCAGGAATGTCTCCCCATTAAGCCCAGCAAACGTCAGTGAGAAGGGGCTGTGATTGCTCTCTAGAAATATACCCTGAAGAGGAGTAGAGATGTGGAGAAGGAACCATACTGTTTAGGGACAGCACTGGCACAAAAATAAAGGAGCGTAAACTGTCTGAGAATAAATTTAGGACCAGAATGAGGTTTCTAACAGCCCGAAAACTGAGGCTCTGCCTCACCTTCAAAGAGGTGCAGTGGGAATGATGCCCCAGCTAAATTTAAACTGGAGCTTGCTGAATCTGAACAAAATAAGAATACCAACCTAGCATCATTGCAAAACGGAGTTGATGACTCCACAGGCCCCTCTAGTCCTATCTTCTTTGCAGAAAAATGTGAGAAGATATGCTTCTGTTGCCAGTTCAGGCCACTACAGCAGCTAAACCCCTGTATTTACGAGTCAGCGCTCTGGGCACTATACAGTTAGTGACTTCTGTTCACCTGTTCATTTTTATTTACTAGTAAATACTGCTAATAGTAGTTAGTTATGGAGAAAGAAAAGAAAAATTGCTTTCCAAAGCTTTCAGTTTACAAACCTTTATAAAGGTATCTTGAATTCCTAAAGTCTCCTGAATTTCAAAGCAGATGTAAAGAGAAACAGATGTCATTTAAGTCTGGGCACTCATCACTTTCAGGAGTTAGGGTAGTACATCTCGTACTAAATACAAGAAATGTAATTATATCATCACTTGTAGAAATAATGCTGCAATATTTAGACTAATTTTTTATTCATCTCAAATGTACAAAAGGACAATGGTCTTTTACACTAACTATGGTTTTCCAAACATGCTTTCAACAGCATTAGTCATAGCATAACTATGGAAACACCAAACGGGAACCAATTCCACCAACCCAAATCCTACTGTGCCGACATACTGCAGGAGGGAGAGGTATACTATTTCAAAATTAGCTCCTTTATTCCTATTTTAAAGTCCCTAGGCCATTTCATATATATGAAATCATACAACCTCAGATTGCTGCAAATGAAATGTATGTATATTAATTACCATGCTACTCAGACAACAGGTGCTTCGTAGATGAAATCTGGGTGCTGAAAATAGAAAGTTTTAGGAATGCACTTTCTCAGACTTTAAGATAAGACTAGGTGTGCAGAACTAGATCTTCAGTCAGCAACTATCTCTACAAAATCACTCACACAACACACCTGCAATATTAAAACAAACGATGAAAGGAACATCATTCTGGAAACTGCTAGCCTAGTTATTTTATTTCAGTGCTTTAGCAATATCAAAAATATTTTGCTTACTGGCAGTTCCACATAATTTAATGAAAAACATTAATTTAAAAATAAGTAGGGATGGAAATAAAAAGAGGGGTGGAGTATAAAGTTTCAATCACTCTTGTATTTTAATGGCTTGCTTTCAAATTAAATAATGAAAAAATAAGCAGGTTGAGTCTTCCTAAAATGTGGAGTATTGACCCAACAGATCGTAACTATTTCAAAGCAGTCATCATAATCTATCATGCAAATATCAAGACAGTGTTTTTTAGACACATGGATTATTGACCCCAATATACTGCCAAAAGTATTCCATCATGTCAGAGCAGAAGCTGTGCATAAATATCTGCTGAGCATTTTTATTACATTTAAGCTGGAAAAAGCCACCATAAAAACATAATAGATATGTTTCTACAGAGAAAAATGAATTTATTTATTTTTCAACATGACTAATTGCACAAGCGAATGCTGAAGACTTCTTATATATACTTTCTAAAGGAAGCTGTTACAAGAATGTAAATATAAGTGTTAGAAGCTTCAAACTTCTAAATGCATTTGTAGTCCTACGAGTTATTTTTTGCTTATAACACAGTGAAAAAAGAAATATATCCCCTGTAACTTACTTTAGTTTCCACATCTGAATACACAGCATATCTTTATAGTCAGTTATAGATCCCTAAAAGCTGTTTCTATAAAATACATTAAGCAATCCCATCACTATAAAGTAAACAACAGAAAACACTGCAGATCCAAGCATTCAGCACTTCAACTTTAGCATAATATTGTACTATATGTCTTTCTGGGAAAAAAAAAAAAAAGAAAAAAAAAAAAAAACAAAAAAAAAAAAACAAGAAACCTGTTAACTGGAAAAATCTTTCCAAATTGTATTTTAGATAACCAATATCCTGTCCTTACATCAGGGGCAGCATCTGTTAAGCATTTAAGTGTGCTCAATGAAAAGTAACAGTTTCTTCTCCAATCCTGAACTCTCGGTGACCGTCACGGAAAGTAACAGTTTCCCATTCCCTGACAGCCAGTGGCATTAATAATCATCAAAAGCAAACGAAACACCTTCAAGCAAATATCTGCTTCTGATTAATCTCCATCCCAAAGAATCAAATTCATAAGACGCAACCTGCTGCCTTGTTTATGCCTTTTTAATATGAGGAGCAGAAGTTGGATATAAGGGGTTTGTTGCCCTTAGGGCTACGAAATATGCCTCATGTGGCAGTGAGCCAGCTCTCCGAGGGAGCCTCCTTCGCTCTTTCTCTCACAGCTATTTTCTAATGGATAATTTTTAAACAGACACACATAAACACACCAGTCATCACAATACAGGGACGGGGTTTTTGGTTTTGTCTAAAGTCCTGTGAGTATTTGTACTCATAACGAGGATCTCAAGGTTTCATCCAGTCTCCCTTTGGGGTTTAGGGTTTTTCTTAAAATGGGAAGGGTGTGGGGGGTGGTGGCGGTGGTCTGTTTCGTTGTTGTTTTTTTTTTTTTTTTTCTTTCCCCCAGCTGCCTTCCCCTCTATACAGTACAGCACATAAAACACCTCTCTTCAGCTTAACCGACCTAAGCTCAATTAGTGCAACATTTTGCACACATCCAAGCAATCACAAGGCAGAGATATTTAGTCCAGTCCTCATGTGTATTGCACAGAAACCTTTAGTTAGGGGTGGAAAGAGATTTCTTTAAAAAAAAAAAAAAAAATCTCACAATGTAATTTACACAGCGTGGAAACGCCTACAAGGAGATGAAGTACCTGCACTGGGGAGATGTTCAGTTGTTCACTTCATCTTCCGTTGACAAGGAAACCAAACCGCACTTCATTCTCCAGGAAAACCTTCCACTGCCATCATTTGAAAATGTATTTATTTGTATATATGTATATATCTATCATCATCATCATCATGATAATAATAACCATAAAATACTGCTGGCAAAAGAATAAAAAAGTCAAGGTGCAAAATGTGCAAAAGTAAGGATCATCTCTTTGGCTTTCTGTTTTGCTTTGTTATCTTTAAGGAGGAAAAAAAAAGTATTTAAAAATGATAACTGTAACATGCTGCAAGAAAAGTTTCACATTATAAACAGGCATCAAAAACTGAAAAAGAAGAAAAAAATAAAAAAAAACAAAAAACACACAAAAAAAACCCCAAACCCTGCTGATTGTACTGTGTCAAAAAAAAAAAAAAAAAGGAAACAATAACAAAAATAATAAAATTAACATCTTGCTCTGTGGCTTCCACCAGTATTGCAAGATTACAAACTCTGTGTAAACACTGCTGTGAAATGCATTTGCAATTCCCATCTCTTTACGAAAAAAAAAAAAACTTAAAAAACACCCAAAAATAAAAATAAAACAACACCAGAGAAAATCCTCTGCAAAAAGAGTTAGAAACATGCCTTTTCTCTTATCTTTAAAAAATAAGCATCATATTTCACATTGCTTTTCCTAGCCATAACAAAACCAGTTGCATATATAGATATATAGCTACTAAATGTATATCAGTTGTTGCTGGACTGGCAAGTCTGTATTATTAATATTATCATTTTTCATTCCCAGTGACTCCCGGCCCCAGCAGCACCTTTTGCTCACAGTTTAGTAACCATCGCATGCTAGGAAAAAAACTTGTCATCAGCAAAAGATCAAATCCATTTAAACAATAATCAAAGAGGAAGAAAAAAAAAAAAAAAAAAAAGAGAGAGAAGAAAAAAAATAACAAAAAAAATAACCAAAAAAAAAAAAAAAAAAAAAAAAACAAAAGGAAGAAAAAAAAAACAGGACAAAAAAAGGAGGACAAGAATGTCAGCGGAAAGGTACTCACCGAGCGGGAGTAAAAGGGAGGAATAAAAATGAGAGTTACTATAAAATACAGTATGGCGGTGGAAGAAGGAATGAGGCGCTTTTTTTTTTTCTCTCCTCTCTAGTCTCTGCCTCCGGCAACCGCCACGTGATCCGCAGCCGGGCGGACTCTCAGCCGGGAGGGCGCAGCGGCGGCGGCGCCGGGCGCGGACCCTGCGCGGACCCTGCGCGCAGCCAGCCCGCCCCGAGCCCGCCGCAGCCGCCCGGCTCCCGCCGCCGCCCTGCGCTCCGCACCCGCGGCGCGGCGGCCGCCCGGCCTCGGCAGGTGCGGCTCGCACACGCACACGCACACCCGCCCTCACTCACTCGCTCCCTCGCACCGAGGCGCGGCCACGCAGCCGGCTGCGCGGGCGAGGCGCGGAGGCGGGCGCGTCTTGCGCGGCAGCGCAACTTGCTCGCCGGCGCTGCGCGAAGTTGCCGCCCGGCGCCGCCCGCCCGCCTGTTGCCCAGCGGCCGCGGCGGCCCCCGCCGCTCGCCCCCGGGACTGGGAGGGAGCGGGGCCGGGGTTTGCCCGAGGTTTTTTTTTTTTTTTTTGGGGGGGGAAGGGGGGAAGCGCCGTGCCCCGAGGGCAGCCCCAGTCCAGCGCCGGGCTCCGCGGTGTCTGCGCTCGGGTTACCGCTCCTGGCGCTCCGGCGGGGGCGGGGGTGGGGGTCGGAGGCGTGCTGCTGCCCACGGGGGCACCGTGTGTGCGCTCACGCCGGGGGGTAGCCCCCGCCGCCCCGCTCGCCGTCTGCACGGGGGTGCTCGCCCCGATGCCCCCGCTTGTGCGCCGGGGTGCCCTTCCCGCACCTCCGGCTCAGCGTGCGTGCGTGGGGGGTCACCCCGGCACGCCGAAAAGGCACGGAGGGAGACACCCCCCTTCCCCCCCGCCCCGCGCCCTCCTGCTGCTCCGGCTCAGGGTTTGTGCTCCTGCAGCTGAGGGTGCGTGTGGGGAGGGGGGGGAGGGGGTGTCCATGGGGGTTCCCCTGCTGCCACTCGTGCTCCGGGTTTGTGCGCAGCGCGGAGCGTGTCCGTGCCGTGCGCTGGGGCTGCGGTTACCGTGCCACTCCGTCGCCTTCCGGAAAGCGTTTCACGCGTGGAGCTGGGGGGAGAGAGGGACAGGTACCAGCACTCCCATCTGTTATTTGCTTTTGTTTCTTGGCCTCTGCCCTGCTTCATGGCCGCTCCCTCCTCCCGTCCTTCCAGCGGCAGGGCTGTTGCTTCCCTCAACAAAGTTCCTGGCCGAGGTGGGAAGGAAACCTGTGTTTTTAGAGGGGGGGTGGGGGGTGGGTGGGGTGGGGTGGGGCGGAAGGGGGGGGCACTCACTGCGGGGGGCGCTCCCGAGAGCAGCCCGCAGTTGCAAGCAGCGTGGCGTGGGGCAGGGGGCTCGGCGGCAGGGTGACGCCTGTGGGCGCCCTCCCAGGGCACCGCGGGCAGCGGCCCGCAGCCTCCCCCATCGCGGTGGAAGTGTTCGGGGTTGGGCCCCAGAGCAGCACAGGAGCGGCCCTGAAGCAGCTCGGTGGCTGGCCGGGTGGCAGCTCTCTTCCCTTTTCTTTTACCAGACTCGAAACACGCTGGAGCAGGCTGTATGCTACTGTTGCTGAGAGTTTCCTCAAGATGCTTGCTTTTCCCTTTTTAGCTCTCCTCGCCTGTCTCCTTATTAACAAACACAGCAGTCGCAGAGAGCGGCGGCCGGGGTCGGGAGCAGCTTTGCTCGGGCTCCAGCCGAAGCAAGACCTGTGCACAGCACCGCCAGGCCCCAGCCCGTTGCCTCGGCTCTGCCGGCAAAGGTTGTGTCCCCACTTCACTGGCCCCCAAAATGTTCACAGCTAACAGTCTCTCCCCCAACTTAATTCCTGCTTCAGCAGTAGAAGGAAAAGCAGCAAGAGGCATCTGTATGAGATAAATTAACAGAGGACTGGAAGTGTGCATCCATAAACCAGGCGCTGTGATGGAAGGAGCGATCTAGGCAACAGCTCCTCTGTTCCCTCCTCCTCCCTTCTTTCTCACTCACTTTTTTTTTTTTTTTTTTTTTTTTAGAGCCCCTCTCTTTTCATCCGGGTCAGGAGGCACGAGATACAGTCAGGTTATTACTCTACAAAAATTACTCTGGCCAGTAAGAGGATGCCCTGCTATATAAAAGACTGGTGAGGGCACCAGCCTGCCTTCTTCACATCCTCACACAAAGCTTTTTCCCTTGCCCTGACCATTTCTTTCTTTCTTTCTTTCCTGTCCTGTATCTCTTCCCCAGTGTTTCCAGAACATGAAAAGAAATGCTCCCTTTCTTCTTTGCTCTCAACTTCTTTTATGAAGTATAAAAAGAACACTGGCCAAAGTTTAAAAATATATTTAAACAGTTATGTTTCGTTGCTTGCTTTTTATTTTGTTCTGGGCTTGTTCTGGCATTTCATAGCAGTCCTAGCTGTTGTCCTCGTGCTAAGTTTGGCTCTCAGGAGTAGAGCTGTACATCTGAGAAGGTTTAAAACAAGCATACAAATAAACACAAACGAAGTCATTAAATACACAAAATCTACAAGAAATTGTTTGGTGTGAAAACTAACAAAGGTAACCATACAGTGTTTTACATACATATGACAATGAACTCAATCATACTGTCATGACGATATCACAAACATGTCTTGAGATTTCAGGTGTGGGAGATGTATTTCCTTGGATCATGCACTCTGATTTTGAATAGCATTAGGTACTCTATGCAGAAATACTGTTCAATGGCTGAGGTGTTTTTAAAATTATATTTAACATCAAAAGATGTTTGCAGAATTGAGGCCTAAATAACAATCCTATTTTGTTGTTGCTTTTCAGTTTCCATTACTGTTCATGTAATTTTGAGCACATATGTCTTCCTGAAATAACAGCAACAAAAGATAAAGGATGGTGTTTTAATGATCCAAAGTGGTATAATAGATCAGACTTGTACATCTGCATCACCCTGATACATATCTAGGAAGCTGGATACATCCATTTGGGACAATAGATTTTATGTATTATTTTCGCAGTAGATTCCAAGAACTAGGAATAAGGTAATCATGCAAATATATATGTTTTCCTTTTCAATGTGGACATAACTACTTAAAGGTGCAGAACTTAGGGGTGGCTTTAAGTCCCAGGGGCAGTACAGTGAGCTGTTCATAACCAGGTTTAGAGACAGAGCTGAGGGAGGGATCCAGGCCCAGCAATTGTGACAAAATCACTTTCTGCTATAGTTAGCATTGTAAATATTGTGAAAATAAACTTGTTCCTAAAGGCTTAACCTTAGGTTTACCTAAGGAATCAAGAAAATATGCTTCTGTTACTTTTCTGCTTACAATCCATTAAGTAGTAAGCATTAGGGAGTAAAAAGCTGCAAGAAGTTTGGCAAGAATACGTGTTTGGAATAGGTTGCAAGCAAGAGCTTGGGAGAATGCTGTTCTCACAGAATCCCAGGAAGCCTTTATTCATCAGTGTCTACTTTCTGGCTACTCCTGCTGGATGTTTCCTCCAAGAGCAATTGTGCACGAAGATGAGGGAAAGTTCAGCATCTTGCACACATTATAGCTTGATTATGAGCAGTGCTCAACAAAGGATACAGTAAAAGAATTAAGTTGAAAAAGAAGGAAGAAGAGCATCTCTTAGGTAATTTCCAGGGCATAATGTGCAAGCCAATGCATGCAAATAAAGTCCCTCTTGGATTTTTTAGGCTTTCCATTTTTACTCTTGCAAGACAGCAGTTGAGCTCCATTGCAACATGACTAAGAGTTATCCTTAAAAGAATCCAAGAATTCTGGGCAGAAAGTGCATGAGCCAGCATTTCTGTGCTTCTGATTTGGCTACCAGCACAGAGGTGCTTCTAAGGTTCTCAAAACATTGTACTTTGCAGCCAGTGAAGTGGCTTATGCTGGGCTCGATATTCTTGTGAGTCATGCCATTCAATCTCAACATTTCCGCTCCCTTTCCTGCACCTCTGCAGTGCCACTCCCTTGCCCCCTCCCACCCCCTCGTAGGAGCAGAAATAAATTCATGCTAAGATTACCTCATTGCCTATAATCTGTTTTTCCTGATTGCATTTAAACATCCATGCTCTCAGCGCAGGGCTGCTGCTGTATATTATACACCTTGCTTCTGTAATTTTCTCCCCTTTTCACTGATGCTAATCTTGGAGAAACACACACTTTTTTTTCTTTTCTTTTTTCTTTTTTTATTTTTTCTTTTTTTTTTTTATTTTTTCTTTCTTTATTTTTTTTTCTTTTTTACATCACTTTCACTGCACTTACACTTTCCTAAAATAAAGGAGCTTCTCTTTGAAGGTAGTAAACAATTAGTTGGAGTCCAGCACTAACATACTGGCTTTGCACAGATCCATCATCATGACTCAGCAGCCTCCAAGCCTGAGCTCAAGTTGCAAACAGTTACTTGTGTTCCCTATTGAACCCGCAGAAGTCAGCTAAAACAATACCAGATGCAAAAATAGCAACAGTAATAATAACAATAATGATAAAACAATTAGTGGTCCTTTTTGCAGATACAGCTGCCTGACTCTTCTTTAATGGCTAATTTGTATGTAATCCCTTCAAGAACATCGAATCTAACTATAGGGTTATAATATTGTGGGGTATTTTGTTTGTATGTGTTGTTTGTATCTACCTTGACAACAGGAAAGAGAAAACTAGTTGCCTGGCAGTAAAAGCTAAATTAAATAATTACTTGAAGTTAGCCAAGCTATTGCATTGTAAACTGTTAAAGGAAGAGAAAACAGCATTTCTCAAACTTTCAAATTAATATAGTTAGCTATCATTTAAATCTGTTTATATCTTGGTTTTGTTTTGATTAAATTGCTATACCTTAGATAATATCAAACTGAACTACTTCAAATTTTTAAAATCAGCACCAGTCCATGTCAATAAATATGGGATATTACTTTAGACTGACACATATTTTTTAAAGGCTTTTCCTTCATCTGCTTTTCTCTGCATGTTATCATTGTTGTTCTTGCTTTTTTCTACAGAATCATTGTTAAATTTAACAAAATTCTGCACTTTTTCTCCTTCTCTTACAGCGCTTTTAAGACACTGT